AATACTGCATGAAATAACAACCATGTTACAAGATAGCCTAGACGAGCTTGGAAAGTCTTACAAATGCTTCGAAAAATGTCAACTGGTTCAAGCCGGAAGTGTGGCTGAGAAAACGAAAATAGAGGCCCCAGACGAATTTGACTTCCTGGTTATCATGGAGTATTTTGCCAACAGAGAATACTTTCAAACGGTTGTCAGAAAAGATGCAGTTAGGATTTACGTGAAGGACCCGTCAGTTGTGGATCTCTTACCGTTTGAATGCGAGGTTCATGCAGAGACCACTGATTTTCTCGATATTGCACTGCGTTCAAAGTTTATGGAGTTGTTTATCAACACATTTGATTCTCGCCTGTTACCCGGGTGGCATCGATCGCGAGTCACTACTGAGGAAAAAAGACCATGTGCTTCTAGTATAGCTTCAACACTGCATTTGACGCACGACAAGTTCGATTTAGACGTAGACGTTGACATATGCCTGTGTTTACCAATAGGCGCTGATGATTTTAAGGGGGCTCTGTCCATTCCAGATGACGCACATCCAAATTTGAAAGACTACCTCACTATTCAAGCTTTGTTGTTTAGTTACATATCTGACGTCATGGACAAGTTACCACTAGAATTGTTCGCAATTCTTGGTAACACAGATGCTTCTCGTCAAGCTATTACAACAAGAATCACTGCCCCACAGCAAGAGCTTTCTTACTTTAAGTCTCTCCCACCAGGAGATGGGCACATTAAAGTGTACTGCACGGCAAAATGCATTCTATCAGCTTTCCTTCCAGCACTAAGTAAAATCTTTGGGTACAAAAGATGCTGTCACAAGCTTGTCAGGTCTTACCACATAAAGAACATAATCTTGTTTATGTTCAAGAACTACAAGGAGGACACACATTGGACTGACAAGATGATTCCAGTACGAGTGTTAGAAATCTTTTTTATTTTGAGGCAATGCATGATTATTGATGATGAATCAAGTTATGATGCTGCTGTTTCTACGTGCTGCTTTCCAGGAACTCTTTATATAGAAAATGTGACAAATTTAAGTTCAACATATAAATCTCAACAAGGAGGCAAATTCTTTTTCTCCCCTGATTCTCATAAGCCTATGTATGAATTAAGCTCATCACCAGTTTTTGAACAGCACCTCTTAACCGGAAATGCTGAGGCTGACAGTCTACTAAAGGAGTGGTTTGAAAAGTTAAATAGCAAGCCATGGAACTCAAGACAACTGTTGTTGGATTTAATCAATTTTCTCAATACCCTTAATGAATTAGTCTTCTAACAAAATCATCTTAAATGGTAGCAAAAAGCACCAATTTTGTTTTTTTGAGAAGAGTCAAAACTCTGATCTTATATATTTACTACCTACATGTCAGGTCACACATTTGTAACTCAAGACCTTTAAGATATACATTCATTCCTGAGACAAAAAGTAAAAATTTTTTTGATTCGTTATGGATTCCTGTAGGGTTACTGATGCATAGAGAGAATAAAATTAGAGTGTTATATATGTGCAGGTACTGTTAGAAGTGTGACCTGAAATCATGCGAAAGAGAAATTGTAAGCAGGAAGTGAAAAAAAATTTAAAAAACGTTTCATTCAACACCACTTTTGTTGTTTGTTGATGTTGTTAATTATTCTTTTGGTGTCATTTCTAAGCAAAACAAGGGACAATTAGAAATGAAAACTTTCTTATCAACCATCTTTTCTTGCTCAGTTATTAAACTCAAAAGATGAAATAAAATTAGTTAATGTACAATCTGCTATAATGATTGGTGCATGTCTGAATTTGTAAAATCTGATTAATTTGTATAGTATTTGGGCACTAAATCCTAATGATGTAAATAGTTACAAATTCAAAATAGAAGTTTGACTCTATTCAGTTACTTAATAACTTAATTTACAGCAACATATAAAAATATTCACATTCAGTATTCCATACATCACAGTAGGTGATAAAGATAAATTGTTCCAGAAAAGATACTGATAAAGTACTTGAAAGTTGTAGATACCACTAAACCATTGAGCTCATGTTCAAATTACATGTTGCTATAAAGATTTAGCCAAGCCCAAAAGTGGAGCTCCTGATTACAATAATTAACCATAAATGAAAAGAGGATTCTTTTCCCTGGATCAGAAACTGAAAAAATTATCAATTGTGAGCATGTGATTGTTCAGCGTGTGGTTTCACAATTTTTTTTCTAGTTACATTTTAACAAACCATACCTAATGAGTGTACCCAAGATTGTAGAAATTACGTATGCAATATGTCAAGGACTTTCCAAGATACGATTGTGCAAGGAATATGTTGAAAGAAAAGTCAACAAAGCGTCAGGGTTTAATTTTCATGGAAATTTTGCCTTTGCGCGTTCTCCCTCACTCTCCCCTAGCATGCCCTAGAATACTAACCTGGCTTGAGCCCACGATCCAATTGAAAACCCATTGCTTGGTCAGTGCTCAACTTCAAAAAGACACGCGATCTCAATGAGCTCTTGACCTGAGCCTGCGATATGGTCACGTGATACTGGTCAGTGGATACCTTGCTTTGACAGCTGTCAATTGATCATAACACGGATGTCCAATATCATTGATGCACCTGTGATAATGGTGCTACTCTCTTATTTTTTAAGGTATGGGACTTGGAGTATGGACTTACGGACGTGCGGACGTGCAGACAGTCACATGACAGCAAAAATTTTTGAGATCGATGGGTTACTAAATTTTCTATAGCATGGGGCGCCGCTCGCGCGCCTTAATTAGCGCGCAGGAGCTCCGCTACAAATTTTCGTAATGGGCACTTGCAATTAGGGCCAGCCAATTGATGAAATGAAATGAAATTCACTTAATTTGTTATGGTCTCGAACAAACTCACTTCCCTTTTCATCAACAGCGCTGAATAAAGATGCTTTCGCTAACATGAAAATATTAGATGAGTTAATTGTCAAACTAACACGTTTCAAGTACCGTGAAGTTAAGGTAAACCACAGCCGTGTCAAATACTAAAATACCAGTAGTTTTCATAACATAAATCAGAAATAATCAGAAATCATTTCTTCCCTAAAATTGAAGTCCTCGGGGTTTTAAAACATGCTTCTGGTTTTTTGGAGCAATAAAATTTCATTGTTTCAAAAAAACCAGGAGGACTTTCTTGCCTGGGCGCTTCAACTGTAATGTCTATATATTCAGAAACAGGAAAGCAAGAAAAGATAGATAACAACCCTAACTAATTACACATTCTTATATTCCCCATAATTCTACGGTATGATTGATGTTTAATTGATAAATAAGAATATCATGGTTAAAAAATTCAAGACGTCTTCAATTAAAATAATTGATCTAACCAACCACTTCTGACTCCCACTTTCCTTACAAACATTCCATCACTATCTTGTCATGATTCCCTACAGTTAATAAAGCATGCCAGAGTTCATGAGTCCCCTGGCTTCTGCAGCCTTTTCATCAAACATTTTCTTGGTTCTGATTCAAACAGGATCCTACAAACAAATCAGAGATTCTTCTCAGTAACAAAACTGTGGGTACTGTGTAGTTACCAGAAACAGTCCCTCCCACAAGGAAGGAAGGAAGTCATAAATGAAAATTCTAGATCGGGAAGGGGGGAGGGAGAAGGGGGGTTTCAAGTCATAGTTTTTAAGGAACTAAAAGCTTTATGAAAGTGAAGTGGATTTCTGGAGAGGATACAAGCATTTTAATCACCAGGCATCTGTGTGTGACCACCTTAAGCCATTAACAAGATTA